AGAAGGGACAATGGGACAGTGTGTTGTCGTTGAATCTGCCGGATGATCTTGTTGATGCTTTTCCCACGATCTGGGGAAAGGAAGACTTGACACAGGGACATATCTAAGACAGTGTCCAGGTGGAGTAATCAGGCCGTGGGAGAAAGATGGTTTTTCTTGGAGTTGATGGAAAATCCATGGTCCTGTAGACACTGTAGGGTAGTTAGGAGGTGCGGCGGTTACCGACGTCAACTGGATCAAGATGTGGTCCAGATAACATTGGATCCTCACAGAACAGCTTGGAGCGAAGCCACCAATGCCGCTAGAACCTTGGTGAAGACCCTTGGAGCCAACAAGAGCCCAAAAGGAAGGGCTCGGTACTGGAAGTGGGCGTTCTGATAACAGAAATGAAGAAACTGGCGATGATGGGGCCAGATAGGTATATGGAGGTAAGCCTCCGTGAGGTCAATGGAGGAGAGGAGGTCGCCCTCCCGAACGCTCTCTAGGATTGATTGCAGGGTCTGCATTTTAAAATGCCTATATGGGATAAACTCGTTCAAAAACTTGAGGTCTACAATGGCTCGCCATCTTCCCCCCCCCCCCCCCGATGTCTTTGGGACCACAAAGAGTCGAGAATAAAAACCAAGCTCTCGTTGATCCACTGGAACTGGCTGAATGGCTCTTATGTCCACAAGGTGTTGGATGGCTGATTCCATAAGGGCCCGTTTTGAACCATCCCAAGAAACGGGACAGTTCACAAAAATCTTTGGAGGTGGCGATAGGAATTCCAGCTGCAAACCCGACCTCACCGTACTGAGTACCCAGGCATCCGACGTTGACTCCTCCCACCTGGAGGTGAAGAATGCCAAACGGCCTCTGCTGTGGGGAGGAGAACAGAGCGTTACTTGGAGCGTCGGAAGAAACAACCTCCTTCTCCACGAAAGGGCCGTTTAGCCGGATTCTGATGTTGCCTGCCAGAAGCCCTAGGGCGTTGCTTTTAGCGCAATTCTGGGTTTGGGAAAAGTGTGTATTAGGCTCGGCCCAGAAGGAAGAGGGGCGGAAGTACGGAGCTGGGCGGTAGTCTGCCCTCTTTCCCATTGAAGAACGAACCTTCCTTTTGTCCTTGGTTTCAACAAGGTAAGGTTCTAGGGTGTTGCCAAAGAGTTTTTCACCTGTGCAGGGGGCCGAAGCCAGCTTCTACTTCCAACGAGATTCCGCCGGCCAATTTCGCAGCCACAGGAGCCGTCTCGCTGCCACCAAGAGGCCATAGCCCTGAAGGCAAACTTGGCTGAGTTAAGAGCGGCGTCTTCCGTAAATTCCACTGCCGCTATAATCTTGTTCAGATCCTGGTGCGACGTGGAGTCTGATGGTGGAAGCCGTTCTTGCATCTGCTGCAGCCAGCGGAGTGAAGCTCTCGTGAAAAATGATGCTGCACTCGAGGCCCAGACAGCCCAAACTGCGGCCTGCTGAGTGTGTTTGAGTCTGCTCGGAGTGCTTGTCATCGGCCTTGACCATGTCCTCTGGCTCTGTGGGGGTGCCAGAGGAGGAAAACGAGGCTACAACTGGAGTCTCAATGGAGGACACTACAAGAGCACTAGCCAAGGAGGGCCCCACATTGTAGAAGCACCTATCATGGGATGAGGGGCAAAGCCCTGCAGCAGGGAAGGCACACTGCTCTTTAACCAGGTCGAGAAACAACAGAGGAGAGGGGAGAACCTCTGTGTGAACGATTGGTTTGGAAAAGAGGGAGTCCCCGTGACCAGGTTCTCCTCAGGGGTCAGTTGGCGGTAACCAAAGCTTTGTGAAGGAGTGGTTTAAATAATGCAGGTTTAAATACTGCGGCTGAGGGGGTTTGTTCAGGGCAAAATTCCTCCTCGTCTGATAAATTTGGATAAGGGTTGGTATAATCCCTGTCTTCATAATCTCCCCACTCTGAGTGGGTAGAAGGACCACTATATTCCTGATGTCTGGGATACCCCCTCTGTTGTGGGACGGGGGGAGGGGTAGGCCAGGAATAGGGCCTGTCCACCCCCTAAGGGGCAAAGGAGCTGCTGAAACCCTTCTGCCAGGCCCTGCCTGATAGCCACAGAGACCACGCCCCTAATCTCACCTGGTCTGCTGCCCGTGGGCGAGTCAGCTGGGTGAAGTTCCGCAGCAGTGGGGGTGAAGGAGGCCTCAGGCCTAGGCCGCAAACTACCCTGGAGGATCTGTCCCTGAGGGAGACCCCAAGGGGCCTGTATAAAATTGGGTCCAGATCTGCTTAAATCCTGGGGGCAGAATTGCTCCTCAGATCTTTCGGGGGACCAGAATTGGAGATGGCTGGAAGAGGCAACCCCTTGCCCCCCCCACCCCCGGGGATTCCCCACGACTGGAAGCCTGTTGCGATTGCTTCAGGATCTTGTTAAACTGCCTCTCCAAGGCAGCATGCCTTCTTTTTTCAGCCCTGAGTTCTGCCTTGGAGGTTTTCTTTGGAGCCAGAGCCTTGGCTATGATTTTAACCACAGCCTCTCTCTGCGCAGATTGAGTTAGTTGCCTCTCTCTCTTTCTTCTAGAGGCCTGAAGGCCCCGGTTTTCTAGGCCCAAGAGTTCTGCATGGGCCTTGTCTTGATCCATCATAAAGATAGGCAAAGCACAAGAGGTGCTGGAAGCAACCCTCGTAATGTGTTGCCTATTGAAAAGGAAAGAGGTCTTGATCCGGAACAAGCCAAAGGCTTATAATGGCGTTGGAGCTCCTCCAGTCGGGCCAATTAAAAGTGGCCACCCGCCACATGCACTATGGCCAATGAGTCTTAAAATGGCAGCCCACACCTGCTTCGGCCTCTAGGGACTGGTCTGCGCTCTTTAGGCCGAGAACGAGCCCCAAGCGACAAAATCGGTTGAAAAACGCCCACGAAAAACAAGCCCAGCTGGGAAGCGCTTTATCAGTGGCTCCGATCTTCTCTTATCGCAGCCGGCCAATTTCATGAGGGAGAGCTGCGAGGGAGGCTTGTTAGGCACTCCCCTTACTTACAGCATCACAGGAGCTCTAGGTAGCTTCGAATCTTCAGCACTCCAAGAGAGCGGATCCCCGCTCTCCCTGAAGCACAGCTCACCGGGTCCCCGGGAGCTGTGCAAGAAGAGAGACCTGCTTCCTATTCGTTGTAGCTGAACTGTAACCACATAGACAGCTTTCAGAGACATGAGCTCAATTCGAGAAGAAGGAGCTGAATCAAAGCTGGGGACCTGGCTACAGGCTAGCTTTTTATATAGAGGCAGACTCAGCTCTATGACATCACAGGGAGGAGTCTAACCCATCCTGGACTCTCGGCACAGCGTGGATGCGAATATCCATGGCATACCATGCTCAGTTCTCCTAGCAAAAACCGTAAGCGGCAACTAGAAAGTACAGCATTCCCACACCTACAACTAAAAGCATAAAACCAGTATACAGATGACACCTTTGTCATAAAAATGGAACAGCTGCTAGAGAGAAGATACATGAGACAATCAAAAACATCTTCAAAGGAATAAAATTTACATGGGAAGACCATAACAACACACAACCCTTCCTGGGTATCCTTCACAGAAGAGGAAATGACAGCAAATTAGAACTTCAAAACTATCGAAAAGCAACCCTCATTAACCAAATGCTCCATTACCAAAGTAACAACCCAACCTCCCACAAGAGGCTGTGTAAGAGCATCACTCAGACAAATATCAACACACTGCAGCAACCTAAGGCACCAGAAAAATAAATCAGACTGCCTATAATACATCCCCACGCAATGGAAGGCCATGCAACTATATCAAAAAGTGTCCGATCACTCAAACCACTGTAACACAACCAACACAAGCAATGGAAAGGATAACACTACCAAAGATCAAAAACATATCAAAACAACTAACAGACCATTACAACCACGTGTCATTGGAACATACAAACAAAAGCCCTCCAAAGCACCTTAAGGAAACCAAAAGACGCTGCAACCCAAGAAGAAAAATCAGGAATTATTTAAAACAGTGGTCCCCAACCGCCCCAAGGCCAGATCCGGGCTGTGGAAGTAGTGGGCAAGTGCATCCAGCTCTATCTGTGGTTCACATGGAATCATCCTCTCCCCCCCCCCCACACACACACACCCTGCTGGTCTGCAACTGGAAAGGTTGGAGACCCCTAATCTACAACATAAAGAGTAAAGACTGTATCAGCCACTCACTATATAGGATGAGATAGGCAGAAGATCAGCAGACTGCATTTATGAACTCCAACCAGGAGTCAGAAGACACAATAAAAAATTAATCTCACGACACTTGGACAGATTCATCTATAATATTAACAGGAAACTGAGTATCTTAGACAAACCCAAATCTAAAAATGCAAGGAAATTCCTGAAGACATAATATTCAGACAAATGAGTCATCAACAGACCTACAAACTACATTTACACACCATTCAAAAAAAGACAAAAAGGTCTAAAATGAAAACAAAAAGAAAGAGATCTTCCTCGTCAATCTACACCCAGATAAACAGGGATTAACAGCAGACAAACAGTCAAGCAGAAAACAATACCCTAATCAAGGAACTACCAAGAAGAAAACCACCACCCTCATCAACTGGTACCTTTTATAAACAGGGATCGGTGCCTCACGCTGATGCTGTAACCTAGTTGGGTAATGAAACTTCTACTGGAATGTCATAGATTGCAACTTTTTGTATGTAAAGGGGATTGACTTAAGAAGGGAGCTTCAGTGTGACTTGATGCTTTCAGCATTTGCAGTACCTCTTAAATCTCCCCACCCACCCCCAAAACCCAAAGAGGTTCTCGATTTTTGGCCCCAACCACCCTGGGCCACAAAAGGAAGGGAGAGACAGACCCTTCTTTAGGGAAATGAATGAAAAAGTAGATCTACCAATATCTAAACGAAAGGGGGTGTATATCACTCGTCTACATTTTTCAAAACTGAATAACTTACACGGCATATCTCAATGGCTATTTGTAGGGAAGTGAAATCAAGTGGATGATGGGGAGTAGGTTTGACTTACTTTTTTTAAACAACAGGAAATTTCCTCCACATGCAGCAAATTCTTCCTCTTCTAGGAATTATCAGATGATCACACAATGCTGCACATCTCATCTAACAGTTAAAGGAAAAAGAAAGTTAGTGGTTGCCGCCTTTTGCAGAAGAGTCTGCTGATGTTTTCATTTTCTGTTTAGAAAAGGACACATCACCGGGGAGGGAACAGACAGAGCCCAAAGCTAATAATTAAGAAAAAAGAAGAAAAAAACACTGGAAAAACTGCTGTTATCACCTTCATTTGGAAGAGGCCGCTACCAGCATTTCTACATAATTTGGGGGAGGGGGAGCATGCTGCAGTCAGTGAGTGAGCACAGACCATCTGTGAGGACACATTTTTTATCAGTTCAAAAAAAGAGCAGTGGAAAAGCTCTGTCTGTATGTGTGTGTGTGTAAATTTTAGAGAACACTCAAAAATAACAAAATACAAAACTACATATACATTATGAGAAAACGCATTAACAAATGCTTTAAAAATAAATGAAAAATACAACAAAAAGATTATAGGGTATATATTGTTAGAATAAACAATTTTACATATAATTATCTAACACAAACATCCAAAAAGCTTCTTCAGCTCTGACAGGATAGTGGGGGTATAGGATAGTGGGCGTGCATCTTCCAAAAGGATGCAAATGACCAGATGACTGCAAGGAATATAAATCCTTCAGTTTCCTCACCATCCTGTCAGAGCTGAAGCAGCTTTTTGGATGAGAAGCGAAACGTCTTCAAAAGGAAAAAAGAAAGTCCGGTTGCCTCCTGAAAAAGCACCTATGGGACATACAGAAGACTGACAAAAAATAAGAGGGCAGCAAATTTCTGCAAAGACTTTATCTCCATTCCACCTGCACCCTATGCTTTTCAGAGTTGTATTTCTCACCATGCTTTGAAGAAAAAGATAACAAGACTGAGCAGAAGAGAATGAAGTTAGAAAATGCCAAAGTCAAGACAAGACAGTAGCAGTTCATGCTTTTCATGAAAGACAGCAGCACTTGCTGCTTTCTAAGTAAAGTAATGAGTATCAGCATTTTAAGTGATTATGGCATGGAAACATCCGGTGTATTAAAATGTTTCAAATCTGAAGCCTTTTGATTCAAAATATCTCATTTCTAGTTTGAAACACTTTATTCCAACAATCCTGGAAATGTTCCATTATCAAAATACTTCATCTGACTCAAAGCATCTCATCCTAGAATTAAAATGCTTTCAATTCAAAATTGTTCCACGGTGATAACACCAGTTTTGTCTAAATTTTGAACCTGAAAAAGCAATTTCTAACTGGAAAGAAGCCATTTCAAGTTTTAAGTATTTTAAATTCAAAACATTTTGCATGCTTCTAATACTCAAGTTTTCTTGCCAACCATACAAGTGGTCAGGATTTCGGCAGTTGCTCCAATTAAATCATGAGCCTCGAGCCACACTCCCAAAACTAAAAAGGATTAGAAGTTAACATTCCAGCATTAGCCTGGGCATAGCCAACTCTCCACTGTCACCCTTGATCCTGCTTTCCCCCCCAACCCTCTGGGTGTATCATCCAACGAAACACGTCCATAACCAAGAGTCATCAATCATGCTCTCCGATTGCGTGGCAGAAGCTTCAGTCATCTAATCAGTCTCTGAAGAAAATATGAATGGAAGGTCCTTTCGATTCCACACTGCTGCCTGCTCTTTGAAACCCCCCCTTCTTTCTGTTGACAACTATAAAACATGTATACAAAATGTTTTATGAGTTGACACAAGTAGTCCTCGACTTACAACCATTCACTTGGTGATTATTTGAAGTTAAAACAGCACTGAAGAAGTGACTTTTAGCCTAAAAGCCTGACATTTCCTGGTCATCTCCCATTCATGTACCAATCAGATCCTATCATATTTATCTTCAAGATTAGCTAGACTTGGTTAAGAGCCGCTAACCAGTAAATGCAAAAAACTCTGAACCTAACATTTTGTATAATTGGCACTCTGACCTCAGACGCAATACTGATGCAGGGGCCTACAGCCATGTGATCACCATTTGCATGCTTTGCAATTGGCTTGCAAGCAGCAAAGTTAATGCAGAAATAAAATTGTATGTTACAATTACGATATATTTATGATGTAAGGTCATAAGCATGCTAGCTGGAGAAATATGGAAGCTGAAGTCCACACATCTTAAAGATGCCAGTGTTGAGAAACACTGCTTTAGTGCTTGCTTACATTCTTGTACACACCAAACACAATGTGACAGCACCAGCAACCCTGGGTTGAGAGCTGCAGATGCACTAAGCAAATAGCTTACTCTCTTGAAATCCCTCCCTCACTAATCTTTCCATTCTGAAGTATAAAAAAGGCAATTTTGGTAGGCAGTCTCCCCTTTGTCTCCCCTTTTACCCCCACCCTTACCCCCACAGCGCGAAGACTTCAAGACAGTACAAATAGTCCTGATCTAACAACCACTCACTTAACAACTATTCAAAGTTACGACCGTGCTGAACGAGTTGTATTTACAAGTAATCCTCAAAGTTCCAGCTATCCCAGCAACCCCCACCCTGCATTCAGGTGATCATGATCCAGACATTTAGCAACTGGCTCAAATTTATAATGGTTGTAGCAGTCACAATATCACCATTTGTAGCTTTTCGTGCCAGCTTCTCACTTCTCACAAAGTGAATGGGGAAGCTGGCAGATTGTAAATCACACAGGTAAGTCTCTCCCACCTGGCTGCCACCACACCAAGTTCCACTGCACTCATGCCGGCTACCTGCCTACCCTTACACATCCTCTCCCACCAGCCTGCCACCTGGAACTTGCAACTTCCTGATAGCTTCACCACTGACTGGTTGTTTGAAGCCAGCAGGAAGTTGTGAGAAAGTCCTCACTTCACAACCTACAAACCTCACTTAACAATGGCACCAGGGACTATTGGGATTGCCACTGGTAAACAATGTGGTCATGTTACATTGCTGCGCTCCAGTGGTGGGATTCAGCCAGTTCGCACCACTTCGAGAGAACCAGTTGTTAACTTTCTGAGCAGTTTGGTGAACTGGTTGTTGGAAGAAATCATTAGGGCAGAGAACCAGTTGTTAAATTATTTGAATCCCACCACTGCTGCGCTCCATGGCTGCATCACTTAGTAATAGAATTCACCCCATTCCAGAAGATGACTTCACCTAGCAGTTTCAGGTAGATATAAACAGAAATGAGTTGGACTCAGGCACCACAAATCAGAGACCTAAGGTTTGATCTTCCCCCTCCCCCCAGTCAACAATTAGCTCTCACTATTTGACCAGTGATATAATTACATGAAACTAAATAGGTGTGCATTTAATAATTTATCTTGCAAAATAAATTGGTGTTTCTCAATATCGTAGAACTCTTCTTGCCAAAGAGGAGACAATGGCTAATTCCAATATAATACATAGCTTATGTGTTAAAAGTCATGGGGATGCAATAATAAGACTCAATATTGAGATTAATAAAAAGTTGTTTTTTCTACTGGTATTCCCAGAATACCAGTAGAAAAAACAACTTACTTTTTATTAATCTCAGAATACCAGTTTGCAGAGTATACCTGACTGAGGGAACAAAGAAAATCTTAATGAACAAACAATCATATTGGAGTTTTAACTCTGATCATCAGATACTGGAGCAAGACTTCAATAGACTAACAAGTCACCTCAAATGTAGAATACAATCATCAGCTTACTGATACCACATACCAGATAAGCACTCACAATGTTCCCATGTAAATATTAAATAAGGGGGGAAGGGAACTAAATCAAGCTGCCACCAGCCAACCTCTACTTACTATGACCAAGTGGAACTGCCTTCCCTGGAAAACTGGGTCCCCAACCCCAAACTTCACACATGATCCAAAATAGGCTAAGCCTATACCTAAGCCTACTTAAAAGTCAAATAAGATCCAGAAAGGTTGTACTTTGTCCAGATCCTGCAATGATCATCCACCAATGCAACCGATGTTATTTCAGTTCCATGCCCAGCTCTGAATCTTGATAAATTGCTTTTTTTAAGAACGCTCCTTGCCATCTTTCTCAACAATTTTCTCCCAAAAAGAAAATTTAAAGGATCAGCTACTGGCTGTGAAATATGGCTTGACCCAAGGAAGGCACATACCATAGCATTTTATAAGGTCAATTCATCACTCACTTCTACAAAGAGATGTTGACAACTATTTGGATCCAGCCAATCATGGTGATCCTGAAAGAGGGGGGAAGAGAAGCATGATTGTGATCACAGTTGGAACAAATCATGCCATCCAAAGTTGCTTGTTCACATGATAAAATGTATCATCCCAGTCACCACCACTTTGACTTTACTAAGGAAAATTCACAATTCAGGTGAAACCAAGCAACTTTGTCAGGAAGGGCTGCACTCCAAGGAACTGTGGTGGCACAGTATGCAGTATTGCAGGCTGACTCTGCCCACAGCCTGAAGTTCAGTCCTGACCGGCTCAAGGTTGACTCAGCCTTCTATCCTTCCAAGGTGGGTAAAATGAGGACCCAGATTGTTGGGGGCCATAGGCTGACTGAAAACCGCTTTGAGAGGGCTATAGAACACTGTGGAGAGGTATATAAGTCTAAGTGCTATTGCAGCCAGACAGAACTGCTTGCTCTTCCACAAAAGGCAACCCTTAAAAAGATCACTGACCAACAACCTTCTGATATAAGAAGAAAAATCCAGGAATCAAATCAATCAGCTTTGCTCATTCACTCATCGTTAATATAAGCACAGGCTTATCTCCATGCTTGATTAGGTTCATTTCGCTGATACTCCAGACATTGTTTCCGGAGATTATTGACTTCCTCACTGATTAGTGAAGAAACTAACCAGGATTTGCATGCAAGAGAGGTGGTAGTAATCACAAGAGTCATCACAAGAGTCATGGTTTGCCAGCAGCTAACCAGATAATCAACAGACTCACATATTTTCAAGCACCTACTGGAATCCATCAAGATCCACCAGGCTCTTAGAGTAAGTAATTCCAATTGATCCACTTTGGGTCGATCAACGAAACCAGTGATTTAATTTTCTAAGTTTCTCAGACTCTGCTGGAGCCCATC